CTACAGGACGTATAGGCGGATTGGGAGAGGAGGCCACCAGGTTTGGGGGGCTGGAGTGGTCCGGCACAGTCCTGTACGTCCTGTGCTAGCACCACGCACGTGTCGTGCTAAGGTGGGCATGCAGCCAGGACGGAGTGTGCCGGCTCAACGCTCGTGGCCTCCAGTACCCCTCCTCGGTCCCGGATATGCTGCGCCAGTGCCACGTGCTGTAGTGCCAGTACGAGTGCACAGCCCTGTACGTCCTGTGCTGATGCCTCACACAGAGTGTGTAGAAATAGGCATTCAGCCAGGACGGGTTGTGTCAGCTCTTCGCTCCAGACCTCCAGTCCGTCTCCACAGCCCGGTCCGGCCAAGCCAGTGGTGCGCGTCGTCAGTCCGGCACAGCCCGTGCCTGTTCCACCTGGTCAGGCACCGGTCAGCTGCTCCACACCGGAGCCTGAGCAATCCGCTCCACCGGTGTCCAGTCCAGCTCCGGCCAGCGGGGCCAGACCAGGGGCGCTACGGTGGGGTAGCGAGAGAGTGGTGGTCACGCCTGGAGCCGGATCCGCCTCCGAGGCGGAATGCCCACCCGGCCCCTCCCCTGTTGTTTTGGTTGGCGCGGTCGCAGTCCGCGCCTTTGGGGGGTGGTACTGTCACGCCCTGGCTCTGGGGACTCTTAAAAGTTGAGCCAGGGTGTGTAGTGTCTATGTTGTAGTTTCTATGTTTTTGTTCTAGTTCGTGTTTTCTATGTTGGCCAGGGTGGTTCCCAATCAGAGGCAGCTGATTCTCGTTGTCTCTGATTGGGAACCATACTTAGGCAGCCTGTTGGCACTAGTTAATTGTGGGATCTTGTTCTGTATAGGTTTGTGTTGGTGAACCTTTAGACTTCACATATCGTTTTATTGTTTTGTTATTGTGTAAAGTACTCATTAAAAGATGTACGCCTATCACGCTGCGCCTTGGTCTGCCTCTTACAACGATCGTGACAGTGGCATATCAGGAAGCTGATTAAACAGCATGATCATTACACAGGTGCACCTTGTGCTGGGGACAGTTTTGAGGGAGTATGCAATGCTGAATGCAGGAATGTCCAGCAGAGCTGCTGCCAGAGAATTGGATGTTAATTTCTCTACCATAAGCCACCTCCAACGTAATTTTAGAGAATTTGGCAGTACGTCCAACCGGCCTCACAACAGCAGACCAAATGTAACCACGTCAGCCAAGGACCTCCACATCCGGCTTCTTCACCTGCGGGATTGTCTGAGACCAGCCACCCAGGCAGCTGATGAAACTGTGGGTTTGCATAACTGAAGAATTTCTGCACAAACTGTCAGAAACCATCTCAGGGAAGCTCATCTGCGTGCTCGTCGTCCTCATCAGGGTCTTGACCTGATTGCAGTTCGGCGTCGTAACTGACTTCAGTGGGCAAATACTCACCTTCGATGGCCACTGGCAAGCTGGAGAAGTGTACTCTTCACGGTGAATCCCTGGTTTCAACTGTACCGGGCAGATGGCAGACAGCGTGTATGGCATTGTGTGGTCGAGCGGTTTGCTGATGTCAGCATTGTGAACAGAGTGCCCCATGGTGACGGTGGGTTTATGGTATGGGCAGACATAAGATACGTACAACGAACACAATTGCATTTTATTGATGGCAATTCTAATGCACAGAGATACCGTAACGAGATCCTGAGGCCCATTGTCGTGCTATTCATCCGCCACCATCACCTCATGTTTCAGCATGATAATGGGCAGCCCCATGTCGCAAAGATCTGTACACAATTCCTGGAAGCTGAAAATGTCCCAGTTCTTCCATGGCCTGCATGGTCACCAGACATGTCACCCATTGAGCTTGTTTAAAAAACATACAGTGGCTTGCGAAAGTATTCACCCCCTTGGCATTTTTCCTATTTTGTTAACTTACAACCTGGAATTAAAATGGATTTTTTGAGGGTTTGTATCATTTGATTTACACAACATGCCTACCACTTTGAAGATGCAAAATAATTTTTATTGTGAAAAAAAAAAAAAAAAAAAAAAAAAATACCACAAAATATAGAAAAATAGAACAAATAAACGAAAAAAGAAATAAGACAAAAAAAAAAAAAAAAAATTAAATTGTAAAGTGGTTATCCCACTGGCTATAAGGTGAATGCACCAATTTGTAAGTCGCTCTGGATAAGAGCGTCTGCTAAATGACGTAAATGTAAATGTAAATGTAAACAAACAAGATATAATGCAAAGAAACAGAAAACTTGAGCGTGCATAACTATTCACCACCCCAAAGTCAATACTTTGTAGAGCCACCTTTTGCAGCAATTACAGCTGCAAGTCTCTTGGGGTATGTCTCTATAAGCTTTGCCCATTCTTCAAGGCAAAACTGCTCCAGCTCCTTCAAGTTGGATGGGTTCCGCTGGTGTACAGCAATCTTTAAGTCATACCACAAATTCTCAATTGGATTGAGGTCTGGGCTTTGACTATTCCAAGACATTTAAACGTTTCCCCTTAAACCATTTGAGTGTTGCTTTAGCAGTATGCTTAGGGTCATTTTCCTGCTGGAAGGTGAACCTCTGTCCCAGTCTCAAATCTCTGGAAGACTGAAACAGGTTTCAAGAATTTCCCTGTATTTAGCGCCATCCCATCATTCCTTCAATTCTGACCAGTTTCCCAGTCCCTGCCGATGAAAAACCTCCCCACAGCATGATGCTGCCACCACCATGCTTCACTGTGGGGATGGTGTTCTCGGGGTGATGAGAGGTGTTGGGTTTGCGCCAGACATAGCGTTTTTCCTTGATGGCCAAAAAGCTTAATTTTAGTCTTATCTGATCAGAGTCCCTTCTTCCATATGTTTAGGGAGTTTCCCACATGCCTTTTGGTGAACACCAAATGTGTTTGCTTATTCTTTTCTTTAAGCAATGGCTTTTTTCTGGCCACTCTTCTGTAAAGCCCAGCTCTGTGGAGTGTACGGCTTAAGGTGGTCCTATGGACAGATACTCCAATCTCCGCTGTGGAGCTTTGCAGCTCCTTCAGGGTTATCTTTGGTCTCTTTGTTGCCTCTCTGATTAATGCCTTCCTTGCCTGGTCCGTGAGTTTTGGTGGGCAGCCCTCTCTTGGCAGGTTTGTTGTGGTGCCATATTCTTTCAATTCTTTAATAATGGATTTAATGGTGCTCCGTGGGATGTTCAACATTTCAGATATTTTTTTATAACCCAACCCTGATCTGTACTTCTCCACAACTTTGTCCCTGACCTGTTTGGAGAGCTCCTTGGTCTTCTTGGTGGTGCCCCTTGCTTAGTGGTGTTGCAGACTCTGGGGCCTTTCAGAACAGGTGTATATATACTGAGATCATGTGACACTTAGATTGCACACAGGTGGACTTTATTTAACTAATTATGTGACTTCTGAAGGTAATTGGTTGCACCAGATCTTATTTAGGGGCTTCATAGCAAAGGGGGTGAATACATATGCACGCACCACTTTTCCGTTATTTAGTTTTTAGAAAAAGATTTAACACGTTTTTTTCATTTCACTTCACCAATTTGGTCTATTTTGTGTATGTCCATTACATAAAATCAAAATATAAATCCATTTAAATTATAGGTTGTAATGCAACAAAATAGGAAACATCAAGGGGGATGAATACTTTTGCAAGGCACTGTACCATATTTATCATTATCACTGACGTTGTTGTTTGACTCAATGAAACTGTGTTCAAAACTGCCATCAAGTCTATGTGTGTGTCTGTTGTGTAAACAAATCTTGGTTCTGAGAAGGAGTAGGGTAAACTTCCATTGAGCCCTGGTGTGTGTTTGTGTTTGTGTGTGTGTGTGACACTGGGAGAAAAAAACTGAAACAAACATGGCCATATACGCTGAGTATACCAAACATTAGGAACACCTTCCTAATATTGAGTTGCCCTCAGAACAGCCTCAATTGTCGGGGCATGGACTCTACAAGGTGTCGTAAGCGTTCCATAGGGATGCTGGCCCATGTTGACTCCAATGCTTCCCACAGTTGTGTCAAGTTGGCTGGATATCCTTTTGGTGGTGGACCATTCTTGATACACACGGGAAACTATTGAGCATGAAAAGCCCAGCAGCGTTGCAGTTCTTGACACAAACCGGTGCGCCTGGCACCTACTACCATACCCCGTTCAAAGGCACTTAAATGTTTTGTCTTGCCCATTCACCCTCTGAATGGCACATGTACACAATCCATGTCTGAATTGTCTCAAGGCTTAAAAATCCTTCTTTAACCTGTCTCCTCCCCTTTATCTACACTGATTGGAGTGGATTTAACAAGTGACATCAATAAGGGATCATAGCTTTCCCCTGGATTCACCTGGTCAGTCTGACATGGAAAGAGCGGGTTTAGTGTACTCAGTGTATTGCCACCTGGTTTGTGTGACTCATGGAAACAACATAATGTATTCTTAGAAGTAAGAAGATAAAGTGCCAACGTTAGTTATAAAAACCTCTGTTATAACTGTGGGCGTATCCTCTCAGCAGCGTGACACATCTAAAACTAACAGTTTCACAACCGCCCTTTGTCACAGTTCCTTTGGAATTCTCCTTTATGGCGTTCTTATCTCTTTGTTTGCTTATGTCCTTATGGCTGTGTGCTGTGCTGTGCTGTTCCTTACCGTAGCCGGTACCTGGACCCTGTGGCCTTAGACCTGTACCAGGTAGACCACAAGCCCTCCTGCCTGGCTGTATAGCTGGTCTCTACCCAACAGTCCAAGGTCCATTTAGATAATTAGTCTGAAGGGCTGACGCAGAGAGAGGCAGGGTTACAGCAGGCTGGTATCTGATTACTATCAACACACAGGTCACAAACACAGGTAGAGAGAGAGAGAGAGAGGCAGAGGCAGAAACAGACAGGTAGAGAGACGCCGAACGCAGTGAGAACAACAACTAACTAACTAACAACTGTGGAACTGAACTGAACAGCAGACAAACAGAAGACTGAAGTCCTAACAGAGAGAGAGACTGGTCCATGTGCTAGTGTTGAAGTGAGCCACCATGGCTAAACAGACAGATATGTTTGTCCTGTTCTTCGTCTGTCTGTCCTTGCTGGTCCAGTCTACGACAGCGATGATATTATGGACGGCGTACGTGGGGATACATTTCTATGACAGCAGCACTAACCAGACGGAGACCAGGTTCTGTGAGTGTGGGTGGTACGGGCGTTCCTCCCCTCTAGAGAGTGCTGCCGGGATGGTGGTCCTCCCTGCCTCAGACCCCCAGGGGTGCAGCCTGAACCCCTACCCCTCCAACGACAACACCACCTCCCAGGGGCCCTGGATCGCTCTGGTCAAGAGGGGAAACTGTACCTTCAGTGAGAAGATCAAGGCAGCGTGGGCCAGGGGGGCAGCGGCCGTAGTGGTCTATAACCTGGACGGGACCGGTAACAGCTCAGATTACATGAGTCACAGCAACACCCCTGGCACCGTGGCCATTATGATCGGTAACCTCCAGGGGGTAGAGATCGCCAACATAGTGCGGGGCGGTCTGGCCGTCTCCATGGTGATCGAGGTGGGCAAAGCCCATGGGCCCTGGATGGACACCTATTGGCTCTACTTCCTGTCTATTGCCTTCTTCATCATGACGGGCGCCTCCATTGTCTACTTCGGGTTTGTCTCCGCCCACCGACTGCACAGTCTCAGGGCGATCCGTCACGCCGATCGGCGGTTGAGGAATGAGGCCAAGAAAGCGATTGGTCGACTGGAGGTGCGTACGCTGAAGCGCGGGGACGAGGAGACAAAGTCGGACAGCCACACCTGTGCCGTGTGTATCGAGTCGTACCGCCCAGGAGATGTAGTGACCGTTCTGACCTGTGGTCATCTGTTCCACAAGGCTTGTATCGAGCCCTGGCTGCTGGACAAGAGGACCTGCCCCATGTGTAAGGCTGACATCCTGAAGGCCTTAGGAGTGGAGGAGGAGAGCAGCAGTTCCTCTATCCCACCACCAGATGTCCCTATCGTCACAGTGTCTGGAGGATCAGGCGGAGAGCTGCTGTATGAGGTCCCTCTCAACAACAAACATCCACCGACCCCCACCCTGACCCCTCGACCCCCCACCGAGGCCTGGCAACCACATCACTATGACAATATGGCCTTCGAGGGAGAGACACGCCATCAGGGGAACGTGGCCACCAGAGGATAAACGACAACAACAACAACACTGGATAATGGTAATTTCTACCTGGAGCATGAACAACAACCCATAGACAACTTCACACAGCTACAGCAGTGGCTTGTGATATACTGTACTATCACTGTTAGCTAAACCATATCTACTGTACTGCTAGGAAAATATCTCCCTGGATTCAAACACGGTTTACTGATGATCAAATAACTACTTGTGCTATCAACACTACTATCATGACAATAGTTTCTAGCTCTACTTATCTGCATAGAGAGCTGTAGCCTAAACCCTGGTCCAGAAAAGCTGCTGGTGTGCAGGCTTCTCTTTTAACTTCTCTTTGAGATCAAAGCTACTTCTTTATAATTTGTTAAATGAACAAATGATCACTTTTATTATGATGAGAAATGCTGAATATATTTGTATATTAAATTGATATCACTGCTGTATTTTTAAAAGTAGATATTCTAAGAGTAAAAAAAAAAAAAAATCTGTATATAAGAATGAATCAAACTACAGTATACTGTAATGGTTCACATTGAAACATATGAAATGAAATGATTAACCAACAAAACAGAATATGTACTAATTTACGTACTAATCTGGTTTAGTATAGCTAGAGATGTACTGTACATGTGTCTGTGGCAGGGTAGGTGTCAATTTAATTTCAAATCAGTCAATTCAGAAAGTGAATTAAATTCATGAATTGATCAAATCTTCATTAAAAACAAATGGCACTTTTGAATACAATTTCAATGAATATCCTGAAGTGACAATGGAAGCCATGTTGAGTTTTCTTAACCTGGACTGGTCATGTGGTGAGGAAGGACGCCTGGGCCTAATGATGAGAGCCCTGCCAGTCTGAGACCAGGAGAGGGGAGGATGAGAGGAGGGAAGGATGAGAGGGGAGGAGGGGAGGGGAGGGGGAGAGGAGAGGAGAGGAGAGGAGAGGAGAGGAGAGGAGAGGAGAGGAGAGGAGGAGGGGAGGGGAGGGGAGGAGGAGAGGAGGGGAGGAGGGGAGGGGAGGGGAGGGGAGGAAGGGAGGAGAAGAGGGGAGGATGAGAGGAGAGGAGGGGAGGGGAGGAGGGGAGGAGGAGAGGGGAGGATGAGAGGAGAGGAGAGGATGAGAGGAGGAGAGGAGGGGAGGAGGAGAGGAGGGGAGGAGTAGAGGAGATGATGAGAGGAGAGGAGAGGATGAGAGGAGAGGAGAGGATGAGAGGAGGGGAGGAGAGGGGAGGATGAGAGGATGAGAGGAGAAGAGATGATGAGAGGAGAGGAGAGGATGAGAAAGTCTATAATTACCTCCTTCTAGCAGTAGGACTCCACTCACCTCACACCTACTGATCAGCCATAATCACCTCCCTCCCACTCAGGGGCCTGTAGTGTGTGTTATTGTGTGTGTATAGAAGCTCCCCAGGATGTGGCTAATAGAACTTGGTCATTAATTAGCAGGAAACAACCCAGCTGAATGACTGCTGCCCTCTTCTGCCTAGGGTTGAATGGCGGGTGTCACGATCGTCGGAAGAAGCGGATCAAGGCGCAGCGTGATATGCGTACATCTTTTAATGAGTACTTTACAAATATACAAAACAACAAAACGATACGTGAAGTCCTAGGTTAATACACCAACACAAACCTTACGGAACAAGATCCCACCATGAACTGTGCAAAACAGGCTGCCTAAGTATGGTTCCCAATCAGAGACAACGAGCCACAGCTGCCTCTGATTGGGAACCACCCCGGCCAACATAGAAATACACGAACTAGAACATGAACATAGAAAACACAACACAGACACTACACACCCTGGCTCAACTTTTAAGAGTCCCCAGAGCCAGGGCGTGACAGCGGGAACCCGGTTACCGAGATTTACAGGGATTTACCCCCCAAACATCTCCCTTTTCCCTGGATAACAGAGGGAAATCGGTAAATTATAATAAATTATTTATATGAACAGCAAGGCGTGAAATGGAACTGTTAAATGCCTCCGTTCGGTACATTACCTTGTGTGAGAGATTTATTATTTTTATAATTGATGGGATGACTAACTTAGAAAGAATGCATTCTTGACTGGGCTGATGTAGGTTGTGACACCTGGCAAGCTGTGATTGATGTGAAGAGCTGTTTTAGGGGATAAGATAAGATAGTAATTTATGTCTCCAAATACTAGACAATACTGGTTCTTTGTGATCTGTGAACCATCCTTGGACGTAGGAATGGTGTCTAGGGGAGCTGGCTCTTCTCACTATGACAGGTTGTTATGATAAACGTATGCCTGGTAACAGAAGAGGCGGGGAACAGCCGGTGCGCCAACGGATAGGCTGAGTAAGTCTAAACCACGCTCAAGTCTCTACTCTGATTGGCCAGCAGAGAGGTGGGAAACTCTCTATTTGAAGAACAATCTGAAACAATGAATTTAGTTCTCTGAAGTGCCCTGCGAGGTATTTCAAAGAGCCCGTATATACGAAACATCATATTTACCATTGAAGGTTTTATATTAATTAAAATACTAGTATATCTTAGAAGTCGTGTTGACCTCTTTTGTTCCTAATGCCAGATTTGAATTGACGCAACTTTGACACTTGGAAATAATGGACGACGCAGAGTTCATTTTTCCAACGTAATGTACAGAATGGAGGCGTTTATCCCACTCATACCACTGTTGCCAAAGAAAACAATATGAAAGCACACATTTACCGGTAGAAATAAAAACATTTGTTGATATTTCAATTTTGATTAGCAAATTCATACTTTCTCATCTTTTGGTTGCTAGAGACGCGACCCAGTCGTTTGTTCGATTAGTTCGATATTTACGGACGTGACCCAGTCATTAGTTCTTTATAGCATGGCAACATGCTTATAACCCTTGCTTGCTGCTAGCTGGCCAACTAGCTATGGCTACACAGTTATGACCTCTGCAGCCAGAATAATAGCTAAGTGTATTGCGTTGTGTTTGGTTAAGCTGTTTATCCTGCTTATACCACAGTTGCCAAAGAAAACAATACTAAGCACACATTTACCGGTAGAAAAAAAAGAGTTAATATTTTCATTTATATAAGCAAATTCACTGTCTCATCTTTTGGTTGCTAGAGACGCGACCCAGCCGTTCGTTCTTTATGTTCCGTTGCCAGGCTCGTTGGCAATGTCCTTATCCCTTACTTGTTAGCTAGCCAGCTAGCTATGGCTAAAACAGTCATGACCTCTGCAGCCAGAATAACAGCAAGGTAGCTGTTTTCTATTGACATTCATTTGGATACATCCATAACAATGAGCTGATAATGCCCGATTTCGCTGGCACAACTAGAAAAGTTTGCCTTCTTGTCAGGACACTCGTCAATACTGACTGTTAATTACGAGGAGATCGCATTGCATATCAAACTCTAGTCTAGAAGCTAGCTAAATAGTTTGTTGCTAGCAAACCTGCCAATATGACAACCAAATTCAAAAATATCAGTTGCTGAAAACAGCTGGTCAAACTAGAAACATGTGGGAGGATTGGACAGCTTTAGTGGCGGAGGGGACCGGAGAAATTCATGTTCATCACTCAAATGCTCAAAAAAAAGTATTTATCTGCAAAAACAAATCAATGCTAGCTAGCTACTGTAAGTATTTTCCTTGTTGGACCTGCGTTTATAATGTATCCCATTTCAGTTTGTATAGTTGTTGGTTTAGCGTTCTGTAACTTTGTAGGAAGTGCGGCCTGCATGTGTAGATGCATATTGTGTCATGATTGCAAGGTGTCCTGATATCTTTTCCAACTGTCCTGATATATTTTCCAACTGTCCCATTGTCTGGTTCTAATGTCCATTCTAGAATGCCCTTCTAGTCATTCAGAAACAAGTATTCAACAATGCTGTAGTATAATGTACTATCCTGTTCTATACTATACTATACTGTAGTGTAGTGTACTATACTGTACTATATTGTACTATACTGTACTGTACTATACTGTACTGTATTGTATTGAACCAGAGTAGAGTCAACATGCTGTGTGGTGGTCAGAGCAGGGAACCAGATTAGAGTCCTCATGCTGTGTGGTGGTCAGAGCAGGGAACCAGATTAGAGTCCTAGTGTTGTATGGTCGTCAGAGTAGGGAACCAGATTAGAGTCCTCATGCTGTGTGGTGGTCAGAGCAGGGAACCAGATTAGAGTCCTAGTGTTGTGTGGTGGTCAGAGTAGGGAACCAGATTAGAGTCCTAGTGTTGTGTGGTGGTCAGAGCAGGGAACCAGATTAGAGTCCTCATGCTGTGTGGTGGTCAGAGCAGGGAACCAGATTAGAGTCCTAGTGTTGTGTGGTGGTCAGAGTATGGAACCAGATTAGAGTCCTCATGCTGTGTGGTGGTCAGAGCAGGGAACCAGATTAGAGTCCTAGTGTTGTGTGGTGGTCAGAGCAGGGAACCAGATTAGAGTCCTAGTGTTGTGTGCTGGTCAGAGAAGGGAACCAGATTAGAGTCCTAGTGTTGTGTGGTGGTCAGAGTAGGGAACCAGATTAGAGTCCTCATGCTGTGTGGTGGTCAGAGCAGGGAACCAGATTAGAGTCCTAGTGTTGTGTGGTGGTCAGAGCAGGGAACCAGATTAGAGTCCTAGTGTTGTGTGGTGGTCAGAGTATGGAACCAGATTAGAGTCCTCATGCTGTGTGGTGGTCAGAGCAGGGAACCAGATTAGAGTCCTAGTGTTGTGTGGTGGTCAGAGCAGGGAACCAGATTAGAGTCCTAGTGTTGTGTGGTGGTCAGAGTAGGGAACCAGATTAGAGTCCTAGTGTTGTGTGGTGGTCAGAGCAGGGAACCAGATTAGAGTCCTCATGCTGTGTGGTGGTCAGAGCAGGGAACCAGATTAGAGTCATAGTGTTGTGTGGTGGTCAGAGCAGGGAACCCGATTAGAGTCCTCATGCTGTGTGGTGGTCAGAGCAGGGAACCAGATTAGAGTCCTAGTGTTGTGTGGTGGTCAGAGCAGGGAACCCGATTAGAGTCCTCATGCTGTGTGGTGGTCAGAGCAGGGAACCATATTAGAGTCCTAGTGTT